GATACAAGTTAAACAAAAGAGAGGAAAAACACTCTGAAGCTGATTATAGTGAATTTACCCTTTTAAACAATTTAACCAAACACTATGTCTGACTACATACATATCCCTTTTTAAGTATTTAAAGATCTTGGCTATACATGAAGCCAAGTACTGACTGCTATGGCCACATTTTGTATGTAGACTCACACAGTTGTATGGTAATGAGTTATTCTTAACTGAGATTCTAACACTGTGGGGCCAGTGCCTGCTGCTGAGCCAGATGACTGGTCCTGGGGACCCACATAGTAGAAGCAGTTGACTCTCACAGGTTACCCTCTGACCTCCACGAGTGCTGCCATGTGTACACACAATTTTTAATTGTTTAAGAAGGCCCTGACAAGTTAGGGAAGAAATGAGCTGAAATAATGGCTTTGAGGTTTGGGTGTTGGTAGTGCACAGAAGCACATAGGGATCCTCTTAACTGATCCGTGGGGAATTCTCAGATGAGATGTACTCCTGGTTACCTTGTAGATTCTCAGGTACGGAAGAGGTATTAAACCCATCTGGATTTCTGGTGAAAATATCCCTCATGAAAAAGATATTCCAGATTGCCCCTGTGGTGCCAAGAGGATATTTGAATTCCAGGTAAGACCTTAAAAAATGACTTTTTAAGAAAACTGGACCAAAATATAGGTATTAAAATATTATTCTGTCTTCTCCCTAGGTCATGCCCCAGCTGTTAAACTACCTCAAGGCAGACAGACTGGGCAGAAGTGTGGACTGGGGCATCCTGGCAGTCTTCACCTGTGCTGAGAGCTGTGACCTGGGCATTGGTTACACAGAGGAGTTTGTGTGGAAACAGGATGTGACAGATACACCTGAACAAGGGTTAAATCCTTAAAAATGTTCCTTATGCCTCAGGACCCCACAATTCCATCTCTAGGACTTTATCCTAAGAAAGTAGTTACCAGAGACTTATATAAGTATAAAAATGTTGCTTGATACATTATTTACAATGTCTCTGTATTACTAAAACAAGTGTCCAATGATGGGAATTTCATTTTTGTATGTCCATAATGAAGGGTGATACTGTTGGTGCTACGAACATACATGGATGCCCAGAGGGGTACAGGGTATAAATACCAGGATGCCATACTGATGTTGATGGTATGTTACTTTTGTAGGAATAGACATACATATATGTGTGCATAGAAATAATCTGGAGAGCTGGCTCAGTTGATTGTAATTACTATTATTTTTTTTGCCTGTGTGTTATGTGTACCACATACATGCCTGGTGCCTTCAGAGGCCAGAAGACAGTGCTGAAGCCGGGCGGTGGTGGCGCACGCCTTTAATCCCAGCACTCAGGAGGCAGAGGCAGGCAGATCTCTGAGTTCGAGACCAGCCTGGTCTACAAGAGCTAGTTCCAGGACAGGCTCCAAAGCCACAGAGAAACCCTGTCGTCTTGGGGGGGGGGGGGGGGGGAGAGGGGGGGGGTAGGGCTAGAGCATGGACAAATCAATGTGTGCTAGGAGAGAGGTGATAGGGGTGGGCGGCCGGCAACCCGGGGGGGGGGGGGGGGGGGGGGGGGGGAGACAATGCTGAGTTCCCCTAGAACTGGACTTAGACACTTGGGAGATGCTATGGGTGCTGGGAATCAAGCCTGGGTCCCTGCAAGAGCAGCCAGAGCCAGCTCTCAGCTATTATAAGAGGGCTTGCTACTCTTCAAAAGGAGCCAAGTTTAGTTCCTAGCACTCAAATCAGGAAGCTCACAGCTGCCTGTGTCATAGATCCAGAGAATTTGATGACCTTTTCTGGCCCGTGGGCACCCAGTACATGTGGCATAGCTCATACAGGTGCATAAAACATACAGATAAGCAAAAACTAAAAAGAGTATCTGGGAAGGAGCCCTGTGTTTTCCCTCTGTAACTTGCCACATGGCAGCACGCCCCACCTCCATGTGGGTTAAAGAGGGAGGGAGGGAGGGAGGGAAACTGGAGCAGTCCATACTGTCCAGTTCCAGAACAAGGAAAACTGAACTTGTTAGTTTGAGTAGGATGAAGGAGCCAGTAAAGAAGTCATGGGCTTTGTCTTTCCTTTACAAATACTCTGCACAGACTGCGGTCACAATGACTGGGGAAGGTGAACAGAGAAGGAACTGTCCCTGGAAGCAACAACCTGACTGACTGAAGGGAGGCCCTGGGGCCATCTTTCAGGTACGGGATGTTCCCTATGGTTCACTGCCAAGCCACGTGGCCAAACCCCTTATCAAGCTACTTTTAAGGAAAGATGCTGTTCGTTTTTACTTGAGGTAAGAACCACATAGAACTGGTATTGGAGGGGGGGCTGGAGAGATGGCTCAGTGGTGAAGAGCATTGCCTGCTCTTCCAAAGGTCCTGAGTTCAATTCCCGGCAACCACATGGTGGCTCACAACCATCTGTAAAGAGGTCTGGCACCCTCTTCTGGCCTTCAGGCATACAGAATATTGTATACATAATAAATAAATAAATAAATATTTAAAAAAAAAAGAACTGGTATTAGAGCACACAGCTGTGGAAGGCATTGGCATCAACTTGTGGCAAACATGTAGAAACATACCTACTCAGGAAAAGTCCAGGACAAAGAGATGCCAAGTCTGACTTCACATCCCAAATTATCAGTAATCCTGTCCACTCAAAATGTATTACAGAAGGGTCTGAATGCTGAGACTTTTAAAAGTCAATATACTAAAGTACTTATAAACGGCAAGGGCTATTATTTGGGAACATCCCCAGGTGGTATGGACATGAATATACCCAGCCAGGTGCACTTAGGAGTATGACCTTGGAGGACCAAGGATTCAAGGCCACCTCAGGCCACAAAGTGAGTGCCTGATTAGTCTGGGCTAGATAACAGCAAGATCCCTTCTTACTACACCATCTTGGTTGGTTTTTGTTAGTTTGACACAAACCTAGACCTATCTGGGAAGAAGGAATCTTGAGAAAATAGTTTCATAAGATTGACCTATAGGCCAGTCTGTGGGGTACACTCTTGATTGATGTGGGGGAGCCCCAGGGCAGGCTGCGTCAGTCAGTGGCAGTGTTCTTTCACAGCCCTTCTTTAGCTCCTACCCCGTCTTCCCTTCATGAAGGACCACAACTATAAGCTGAAGTAAGCCCTTTTGTCCCAAGCTGCTTTTGGTCACAGTATTTTATCACAGCAGTAGAAAACCTAACTAAGACAGTCTTTCTCAGAAAGCATGTGTAATCTAGGGACAGTACACTTTAGTGCACGCTAATCTGCAATCCACTTATGGCCTTCAGAATTAAAGGTTCTACTCTGGGGGTAGGTCAGTCACAGAGGTCATTCCCTGCAGGCACAAATCCTGTGTTCTAGCCCCAGTATGTCAAAAATAACAAGGATAAAAAATATGCATAATACAGAAATGGTTAAATGAAAACCTTGGCAAGACACAGTGGCTCATGAGACTTACCTTCCCAGCTATTTGAGAGAGTAAGGCAGAATCACTGAGTTCACGGCCACCTGGGCTGTAGGAGTCTAACCATGTCACCCTGTCTCAAACAGAACAGGAAAGAAGGAAAAAAAAACAAGGCACTTTAAAGTCCCAGCCACTGAAATATTAAAAATAAATACCAGAAAGAAGAAACAAGATTACTACTCTTCAAAGTTACCACGTGCCTAGAACTTAGGGTTCCAATGCATTCAACTATTAACAGCAGTAACGGGAGCTCAATAAATAGATTGGAAAAAGTTAAATATAAATTAGTATTTTTCCTTAAGGTGTTAAGGAAAAATAAGAAACCATGTTGAAATAATTAACTTTTATGACATGGAAATGCTCCATATAAAAAGAATTATAAAACCTAAAAAAAAAAAAAAAAAAAAACCATCTTGAAGAAACGTACTAGAATGATGTCCTTCCCAAACATCAGTAACACCTGGGAGGTGCAGGAAGTGGTACTTTGTATACTTCTGGGGAGCTGGGCTCTAGTACTGATTTGTCAAAACTTGGAAAACATAAATGGTTTATATCAATTCCCCTTGTAAAAGTATATTATAGAAATTTATGTATTCAAAATACACATATGAGAATACCTGGGCCATACTGCATAACAGTGTGCACTAGAGGAAACAAGGACCACCATTAAGGGAATGGTTCAAATCAAGGTATTTAGGACGTTACATTGCTGTTCTTGGAAGTGTAACTGGCACACTGACTGTAAAGACAAAAGAACAAGTCACCAAAGTATTGAACCAAAAACAAGATAAAAAGTAGCTCCAAAGGACAGAACTGCACATTAAAAATTTAAAGAGCAACACACCTTAACACCCTTGGTCCTGAGTGGCATGGTAACTTGTGAGCACTGAGGACTGAAGCCTTACTCTCCAACTGCTGGTGTTCAGTGGCACGCCTCTCAGCCTTGTTACCTCAGAATGGTACCTAGTAACCCCAAGTTCCAGGAGCTAATGCCACTGAAAACAGTCACTCGTTAGTGTCCCCTCTGCCTGCTGCCACATCAGGTATACGGGAGAGCTCAGGCATAATCTAGGTGAGGGTGAGAAGACACTAATCTGGAAGTTACCTGGGGAAAGAACAGCTAAGGATGGAAAGAAAGACTTCTTTCTGATTGCACATACTCTGAGCTGTGCACAATGTACTGTTACAATTAAAAAACAGGACATAAAATGCTCCCAAATAACCCAAGGCTTCATAAGTGTCCACCTTGTATTCAAGAGAAAATAGCCATGACAAAAATGCTACATCAGAGAAGCTAGCTATCTGTGGACAGGGTGCCAACTGCCACATCTGAAATACTCATGGCACTCCGATGTCCCTTACCAGCTACGAGGCCCCGGTGAAGGCTGAAAAAGGAACAGAACAGAACTAGTTTGGTGAAGATCCAGACACTATAGAGTATCTAAGAAATAAGAGGGTGTGCAGTGTGGATCATAAAATCAGTGGCATGTCCATTCTCACCGCAACAGACAAAACAAAACAAATGACAAGCGAACAAAACAGTGGTCTCAGGCATTATATCTAAAATAAATCTCTTTGACAGTATGATCACATGACTCTTACAAGGTTTCGTTTATAACAAAAATCTAACAATTTACAAGCTGCATGTTTCTGTGCAGAGCCCTCTGGAGAAGGAAAATACGTACATTTATTTTGATTAACACAACTCTTCAGTTCTGCAATACTGGGAAGGAGGAATGTATCTGGCACAAAAATAACTCCTTAGAGTTACAAACTAGAAAACAACACTTTTAAAAAAAGATTTTTTACTTTTCTGGTAGAAATATAAAAACTGGCTTATGTGGGAAAAGTTAAAATAAAAAGTCCAATTGTACAGGTGGCTTGAACACTTAAAAGTTCTGTCCCTTAAACCAGCAAATTCATCAACAGCAGTGTTTAAAATCTAAATATAAATAAGTGGGCAGAGCTGCCCGAATAGCAGCACGGAGCAAGCGGCTCACAGTGATGCTGCAGGGCGATCTCAGTGCAGAGGAGGTAACCTTTCCAGTGTCCGCAGTAGGACACAGTGTCACTTCATGCTGCCACCTGTAGCCGAGTGTCCTTCTCACAGCTACCATCAGCGGCACCAGAACTGACGGATTTAAAAAACAAGTGGGTGGGGGGCAGTAATGCATGGCAGCCACTATGTGGTCTTCCTGAATCCCTTTAAGATGGGGTAGATGTTTTCAAATGCTTCGTAAATTTCTGCTCTAACTTTAGCACCTACAAAGACACATTGGAATAGAAATGAGATGGTTAAGTAACATTTCTTAAAATAGAAAGTAACATCGCTGCCTTAAAATAAAGTCACAAGTACAGTTTTCTCCATACCCAGTTAAGACAAACTTGCTGTGTACACCAGGCTGGCCATGCCATGCTCTCCAGCTCTTGTTTTTAAAACTTTATCTATCTATTTATTTATATTTGGCATTTTTTAAAAAATGAGATTGGCAGAGGTGGTGGTGCACACCTTTAATCCCAGAACTCAGGAGGCAGAGGCAGGAGGATGTCTGTGAGTTTGAGGCTAGCCCAGTCTACAGAGCGAGTTCCAGGACAGGCCTCCAAAGCTACTGAGAAACCCTATCTTAAAAACCATTAATATACATATAATAAAAATACACCTGGTGACTTTTAACACCCTAGACCACCATTTCCTCACCACAGTTGGTCCTGGTCAGGATCCACAAGTCAGCAAGGCAATACCCACCCCCTAGCCCACAGTTCTTTCCCACACTTGGTCCTGAGTGGCATGGTAACTTGCAAGCACTGAGGACTGAAGCCTTACTCTCCCAACTGCTGGTGTTCAGTGGCACTCCTCTCAGCCTTGTTACCTCAGAATGGTACCTAGTAACCCCAAGTTCCAGGGGCTAATGCCACTGAAAACAGTCACTTACTAATGTCCCCTCTCTACCTGCTGCCACGACGCATACTCTAGCTGAAGACTACAACTGTAGCAGGACTCTGCGGTTCTCACTCTTCCCCTTCTCATGGGGGTCAGGATGGGAAGCAAAATGTAAACAAAAACATCCTTACAAGAAGAGGCTAGACAACTGTCCCAACACAGAAATGCTATCCCAAAATTCTCTGCAATTTTGGTACACTACTTTCCTTTTAACTTACCTGTTAATACAACTTTTCCAGAAACAAAAATAAGGAGAACAATTCTTGGTTTGATCATTCTATAGATTAATCCAGGAAATAATTCTGGTTCATAGCTAGAAAGGAAATGGGAAGTCATCAGTTTTTGTATAAACACAACGAGGCCTTGTGAAGTACTGGAAATACTGAGTGAACAAGCCAGATGTCTACAAACAGGACACACGTGATGAAAACACTTTCACCAAGCAAGAGCCCCATGTCATGGGCATGACGACCAACTACATGTCCTATCACATAATGCTGTCTTCACAGAATCCACATTTTCTGATAAAGACAAGAGGGTATTCTCATGTTCTCTGATCCTCATTAGATTCACTCTGGGCAAGTCTAGGGATAATAGTTTATAAAAAGCGGAGAGTGACAGTCAGTCAGCCCGGTAATCATATCTTCCTTCCCTGAATAGGAACGTTCTAGAGCTGTCAGTTTTTCTAACAGGGTGACTTAACCAGAGTGATAAACCAAATATGAGCTCAAAGATGAGCCTACACCCTGAACTGACATTAATTGATGAAATTCGGGTTTATTAGTTCAGTCTGATAAAAGGACCCGTCTGTCTTATGTGTGACCTGGAAATAAATGCAGCGCAGGCCTCCATGAGGAGGAGCAACATTGAATGGATATCTAAATCACACAAGAGCTCTGTGTTGAAAATTGAACCTAATGTGCCAGGTAAAAAACTGCCCTGGGCAAAGGCCCTGGAGCAAAAGGAGTATGGTGCAGCTGCAAACAGGAAACAGATACCGAGACGAGGCTGTGAGCAGGGATGCTGAGGAAGTGCTCACCAGAGAATGACAAGCAATCCTAACGGACAGCTCATCCCTGTGCCATCTTATCCTCTGCTAGTAATGTTGACAAAGAAGATTCAAACTGGGAAAAAAGTGGTAAAAGTGGTAGAAGAAACTGCAAATTCATGTATTTAAATGTCTTTACTGACTAACAAAGTGATAAGGCATACAGAAGTGAATGTAAGTCACTCCAGTGAAGGGGCGTCTGGGTGTCACTAAGTGACTAGGGAACAGGAGCTGTGAGGGCAGCAGAAAGTGCAGTATAATTGCTTACTAGTAGCACATTCATCTTGCAACTACATCATGGACTTAAGAGACTGAATGTCTTAACTGTGCTTCTCCCTGTATCTCAGACCTACCTACTGAACTGCTGGTGGGTCAGCACGAGGCCTTCCAGCCTGATGGGGAACTTCACATCACAGCTTCCCACCATGTTTTGGATCTTGAAGTCTAAGAACTTAGCTGGGAATCCCAACTTCTGCACAACTCTAGCATATTTTCTCGCTGCTAATCTGGATTGTTCTTCACTGCAGGAAGGATAAACAGTGAGTTATGAGCAGAACCCTAATGGAATAATTAAGAATAACTTAAACAGAGTCTAAGTTAGAAAATGAATTAAACTATCATTGTGTCTTTAACAGAAACCATATTCTACCAAAACATCAGCCATGAATTTACGACATTACTGACAAGTCCTAGATTCAAAGGACGTGATGTAGCATATGATTCAGTTATGATCACTGTTAATACATTCTGACCCACAAATTTCTACTGAGATGAAAATTTCATAAAAAAAAATTACTAAGGTCGGATGGTCATGGCTCATACCTTTAATCCCAGCACTTGGGAGGCAGAGGCAGGTGGATCTCTGAGTTCGAAGTCAGCATGGTCTACAGAGTGAGTTCTAAGACAGTCAGGGCTACACTGAGAAACCCTGAATCAAAAAACAAAACAAAACACCAAAAGCAAAAATAAAAATTAAAAAAAAATGTATACTAGTAAAATTTACTATTGACAAATATACAAATTCTATTCCCTTACATCAAATTTCTGTCCATTCTTAGGACACCATTATTGGGTGAAACTGTGACTTTCCAACTTACAGAGCTTTCATCTGAAAAGCAGGGTACAAATACAATGCTACAACCAAAGTATCAGGGGTAACAGTAAGAAGATGCTATTCAAAGTGATTAGGATAGTTCAGCTGGCCGGTGGTGGCGCATGCCTTTAATTCCAGCAATCAGGAGGCAGAGGCAGGCAGATTTTTGTGAGTTTGAAGCCAGCCTGGTCTACAGAGCGAGTTCCAGGATAGTCAGAACTACACAGAGAAACCCTGTCCCGAAACAAACAAAACAAAAGCGCTAGCCTGATAATAGCAACCCCCAGAAACAAAGAAACCCGTAAGGTACCTCTTGGCTCCGGTGCACACCATTTTTCCAGAGCTGAAAATCAGCGCAGTTGTTCGTGGCTCTCTTATTCTCATGATGACAGCAGCAAACCGCTAGGAAGAAGCATTAAAGCTGCACTTTAATTTCTGATTAGTTTCTGTGAGCGAAGAAAGCTCAAGTATTGTAGATCCTAGGTGAAACTCTCCTGGCTACACCAGATATTCCTGTCCATGCATTTAAAAAGTATCTTTGCGCACGCCTTTAATCCCAGCACCCAGGAGGCAGAGGCAGGCGGGATCTCTGTGAGTTCAGGATCAGTCTGGTCTATAAAGTGAGTTCCAGGACAGCTCCAAAAACTACACAGAGAAACCCTACCTTGAAAAACCAAAATCAACCAAAGTATCTTTTAAAATGTTTTTGTTTCTTATTCCTTTCCTCACACTTATCTACGTTTTTTGGGTATTTCTTTATTGGGCAGTTTTTAAAAATCTCCTGATCTTTTCTCCTTTCTGCTCTTTTGAACTTTCCAAGTTTGTCCAAATAAAGCAATCCATTAGTACCAAAGTAAGCACTGCAGAAAATACCGACGGAATGCGACACACAAAGTAAAAGACAGTCAGACAGAGAGCTCTTATGAGGAACAGATGGATAAATGAGAACCAAGAATCAACCATGCAGATTCAGTAAACTAACTCCTAGCGATAGCTGAGAAAGCCAACCAAGAAAAACAATCAACAAAATTCTAGAAATCAGATAGTATTTTTTAGTAAGCGCTCCAAATGTAAATGGTCTTGCCTATCCAATTAAAAGACAAAGACTAGTTGTTTTTCTAATCCCACCATCTGCTGACTGCAAGAAACACACCTCAATGGCAAGGACACTTACAAACTGAAAGTAAATGCAAGGAAAATGATACACAAAGCAAATGGAAACTGAAAACAAACAGAGGTAGGCTTCAAGCCAAAAATAGACGAGATGAGGCTACCATCTTAATATGGTGACTGGTTCTTCAAGTAGATATAAGAGCTGCATATACTAAAAATAACAAAAACTTGGTTAACTAAAAGTGAACAGTGGCCAATTTGAGTCTTTGTAGTTAATTTTCTGTTTAGCCTTATACTCAACTAAAAACCTGGCTATGAAATAGGGCTCACGAGTTTCCTACATTTAAGACAGTTCTTTTCCTCAATCTAGATGCTGTCACATGGCCAGTTTCAAGATGACACACACTGATGAAATCACAGTACAAAGCTGGGCACAGTAAAATGCACTTTTAATTCCAGCAATCAGGAGGTGGAGACAAAAGGGTCTGAGTTTGAGGCCATAAAAATGAAATCATAGTATAAAGTAGCAATCCTACTACACAAGGCAGGCAAACATCTACAACATCTACATCTACAACAGTTTTGAAACCTGGGACCTCTCTTAGTTTGGCTATGCACCTGGCAGCCCGAGACCCTTACCTGCATGAAAAATACATATACAGCCCTCTCTAAACCTAGAAAGACTCCCACCTACACAGACACACACACACACACACACCACACTTCAAACAATGGACTAGGTTTCTCCTTCCCTTGATGATCATCAAACACAGTCTACTCAATCATACTCCAGTTGTGTCCAAGTACAAGGCAGGGAGTGGGTAGGGCTGACTGATTCAGTCTGAATGTTTTTGGTGCAATAAGGCAAACTGTGTCCTCTGAGTAACCTTTTAAGGGGAATCCCCTACTGCCACCTTCTGCCCATGTAAAACTGGGCATGCATGTCATTAATACCAGTTGTATCATGGGAGGAGACAACAGGTAAGTTACATAACTTGAATCTGTTTGTCAAATAGAAAATCACACCCCTAACAACCAACTCCCTTTCCTTTAGAAGAACCTATAAAATAGTGCCCCAGAAAGTAATCTGGGACTCGAGTCCTTTCACACTCATGTGGCTGATCTGTACTAATGCCTATAAATGAATTTCACCAGGATCAGAAGTGTGAGGCTCTTCATAAGAGGTCACCTAAGGAGCTGTGGCAGGAGCAGTGGGAGGAGCTCCCAGGAGGATGCACAAGCTACTCCCACAGGAAGAAGTCAGAGACTCTAAGGCCAACCTCAACTTACAGGATACAACAAGGGGGGGGGGGGGAAGAGCTGAGACTCACAGGTGAAGACAATGGACAAAACTAAAGCCAGGGTACGGAGACCAACAGCCAGGTTAAGGCCTAGGAAACTGTAAGGCTTCCAGGGACTTTACTAGAACTGTGTGTTCCTCAATGACTTATCAAACCGTAAAAGGACAAAAAGCCTTATTACAACCACAAGTCTTTGGCCTTGCTAGACCAGTGTTCTACCACCAAGCCAGACTCTTAAATTCCTGCAATTTATCTATCAGAAAAGCCATTTGTGTCCATACCACCACATGCAATTTTGTCTATCAGCAAACCTTCAAAGTTACACAGAGGTGGGAAAACGTGTAATAAACTTGTACTTACAGCCAACAATTATTATCACTGACCAACCTTTCTGCACCCATGCAATCCATCCCCAGCTCTCCCACAGGATTATGGACTGGGTACCACAGATATGTCATCAGATATGCTTCAGGATATAAATGGGATATTCTGTTTTCCAACTTCTTGTGGTACCCTCCACAACGTAAGTGTATGTAAACTTGGTTTATTATATGGATTTCTACAAATGGAGAGGGATATACATAGTAGGTATTCAATAAAACACAAGTTGAAGAACTGAGAATGCAGCTGGGCAGTGGTGGTGCACGCCTTTAATCCCAGCACTTGGGAGGCAGAGACAGGTGGGAGTTCAAGGCCAGTATGGTCTACAGAGAGAGTTCCAGGACAGCCAGGGCTACACAGAGAAATCCTGCCTTGAAAAACAAAACAACAACAGTTTGGTTTAGCGGGCAGCACTGCCCTAGTATGGTTGAGGTCCTAGTTAAAATCCCAATACTGCAAAAACAGGAAAACAGAACAAAATGAAAAGTCCCAGAATGCACTTTTCCTAGACACTAATCATAAATATAACACTACTCATTTTGCTTGAATCAAGAAACAAGCACAATCAAACTCTCTCACCTACAGATGTAGGGAGAATTTTCTGTTTATCTTATATAGTCTCAAACACACGAAAATGGGTCTGACCTTGGGATTATATTCAGCATTTCGGGCACGAAGTGCAATGGTCTTTAGGTCAAGTTTACATCCAAGATTCACCGTGGATACAATATTTCTATAAGAAATTTAAAAATATAATTACTTAAAATATTTAACTTTTAAACAAAGAGGGCAATGGTCTTTAGGTCAAGTTTACAACCAAGATTTGCTATGAATATAATATTTCTGCAAGAAATTTGGAAAGAAAACATGATTTAGATTGATGATCCATTATTTTTTACCAGGCTTTAGTAATAATAATAATAAAAATAACAAAACCAAACAAAAAACTCTGCTGACTCTAAATGTTTTAAAAAGTGCCACATACCAGATATTCCCACTTAATACCCAAAACATACTATGAAGTGGTAACTGTTATTCCCATAATCAGACAAAGCAACTGAGCCTCCATGGAATGTACTGCATTTGGCTTGGGATGCACATGACTCCCAAGTGGAGGAGCCAGAACTTGCGTGTCTCAGGAGCCATGCTTTCCTGAGCTCTCAAATACTACCAACATCAGCTCACTAATAAGTCAATATGGTAAAACAGGAAGATGTGGGTTTTCTCAGTCTTCCCAAAATGGAATTCAATGTCTTCAGCAAGGGAAGAAAGAAAATACCTGTACTCTGTTCTGTAGTTACCACTGTAAGTCATGTTAAATAGAATCATCACTAGCAGGCTAGGGAGACAGCTCCATTTGTAAAGAGCTTGTGGGGTTCAATCCCCAGAACCCGTGAGAATGATAACGTGCACCTGCAATCCTAGTGCCAAGGAGGCAGAGACAGGCAGATTTCTGAGGCTCACTGGCTAGTCAGCTTAGCCCGACCAGCAGTGACCAGGGTAGAGATGCGATTCCTGAGGTTCTCCTCCAGCATACATAGGGAAGTGCATGCACACGTGCACAGAATTCATCATTCCCCACCTGGGTCTAAAAGACTATTTCATGCCACTGTATCCCAGTCTCAAAGCATTCTATGCAGTAACAGGGTTTCTCTGTGTAGCCCTGGCAGTGCTGGAACTCACTCTGTAAACCAGGCTGGCTCTGAACTCACAGAGATCTTCCAGCCTCTGGCTCCAAGTACATGCTCTGTGGCTATGGAGATAGTGTGTGTCCTAGGCTGGTTCTAACAGATGATTTTAATCAGAATACAAAGCAGAATGCCTATGGGAGTCAAATAGGCATGAAAAATTAGTGTGGAGCAGTACAGACTTTGTCTAAAAGAGAGCTAATAGGGCTTATCTCTCTAAAATTATAAAAATCAAAAGCAATCTTAAAATTGTATACAGGCAATGTGTAATAGTCAAGATTCATGATTATATACCATGTAGCTTAAAAATGATCTGGCATGGCTTACAAATGACAATTATGTATGTAAAAAGAAAGTTGATTTCAAAGTAGGAGGGAAGATCAACTAACAAACTGAACAGTGTTGTCTGCAAAGAACCTTTAGTTAGGCTATCAGCTTCCTTAAATGGAATCTACACACTTGTTACTGAGGAGTAGCTAGATTTGGGTGGTTTCAGGAAGAAATAAAAAAAGCCCGTGCCTCCTACTCCTTAACATGTGGGAACGACTTCACTTAAGCAGAAACATATTTCAAGACAAGAACTGCCATCCTCACAAATCTCCAAAGATTGGACAAGCCTGTGATACAACTGGCTTTAGCCACAGGGAAATGTCCACAGTATCAATGAAACTCAACTTCATTTCAGCGGCCCCAACACATAAACACAACTCCATGTCTAAGGAAAGGCTCTGCTGAGAACACTGCCTCATTCTGTGGCTTCAATTCCTTGCCAAGAGCAGATGAAGCCGCACTATAACAGAATTACCTTAAGTAAATCCACGGTCTGAAAGCAAACCATTGAGAGCATCCTCTGGTGCAGGGGACAGAGGACATAAAAAACATGTGTGCGCATGCGTGCATACACACTGGAAGAGGGAAAACAAGAGCACACACGCTAAGAAGTACTCACTGCAACTGTGGTACAATCCCAGAGCTCTCAGAGGCTGGTGTGGCAGGAGTGATCGGGGTCATAGGGGTCATTGGTGAAGGATACAAGGGGGTGGTGCCTGGCAAGGGTGCAGTGGTCAGAGTCTGGGAATGGAAGATCTGTGGAGTCTGGCCTGAGGCACCCTGTGTGGGCTGCTGAGATGCTGATTGCTGAACTGAGGCTGCTGCAGTTGCTACTGCCTGCTGCTGCTGCTGTTGCTGCTGTTGCTGCTGCTGTCTTTGTTGCTCTTCCAAAATAGACAGACTATTGGTGTTCTGAATAGGCTGCGGAGTAAGTCCTGTGCCATAAGGCATCATTGGACTAAAGATAGGGATTCCAGGAGTCATGGCTCCCTGTGGAAAACAGAGAGAGAATGATTAAGACATTAATGTTTAGCAGTACAGGCTCTTTCCTACTGGAATCCAGGGGAAATGTAAAACCTGATGCTTTCTGAATATAATAGGTCTTGAATTACTAGGAAAGAATTTGGTACCCTGAGATGCATCACTTTTCTTCTGTGGCACTAAACACAGCAGATGAGTACTTAGCATCTGGAGTCTATTATTTATAATATACAAGACAGATGCTTAGCCACCCAAGCATATCTAGACAGTAAGGACAAGGCAAAGGTGCATGTCCCTATGTAAAGTGCAACCCAAGCCTGTTAAATACTGTTAACTGCCTTTTCTATAATGCTTCTGTCTTACAAGCATTGCTAGATTTAGTAACTATTTATGTGGAAGTAGGGAGAAAAAAGACGGCAAAATTAATACTGAATTAGTAGCAAATAATCTAGGTCTAATTCTATTGCAATCACACACACATTTTATATAAAAATTAATATTTAACTTTGTAAGCAGATTTTGTTGTCATCGTGGGCTAGGGAGGTGACTGCAACAGAGTCAAGAAGGAATCTTCTTGAGTAAATGAAATAAATGTTCTACAGCTTCACACAGATGGAAGTCTTCTAAATTAGGTTCCAAATAAACTCCCCAAGCAGAAACGCATCATGCCTACCCAAAGCAGAAACTTCCACAAAGTAAAACAAGCTTGAGAAACATACAAATCCATGTTCAAATTTGGGTGGCTAAAGTTTACCTTCTTCTGCTTTCTCTTAATGGGACTATGTCAGCCCTCCTTGCCCCCACTCCTTGCTCTTTTACCTGTGGGGAGGCCAAGCCCTGAGCATAAGGAGGGAGGCTGTTGTTCTGGTCCATGATTTCCACTTCCTTCAGTGTTCAGATTTTTCCTAGAGCATCCTCTGCAAATTCTCCTTAGAAACGTCCTTAACTTTCCGGGTTATCTCCACACACCATGAAACAGTGATGCTGTGCTTGAAAAAAAATGTTTTAAGTTTAATCAAGTTTCATGTTCATACAAAATACACACACATGCCGAGTGGTGATGGTGTAAGCCTTTAATTCCAGCACTCCAGGAGGCAGAAGCAGGCAGATCTCTGAGTTTGAGATCAGTCTGGATACAGAACAAGTTCTAGTCCAGGCACCAAAGCTACAGAGAAACCTTATCTCAAAAAACTTGAAAGACAAACAACAAAAACAAAACACATATACAAGCTATCTTGGAGAAATCTATATCCTTTAATTCCAAAAGCCTAGGGATAATATATTTTTTAATCCCAAAAGCCTAGTCCCTGTTTCCTGTGACTCATATAAAACTGCCAACAAAACTATGTACTATGTAGTTAAATATTCTAATAGTACTTAAAAATAAGGTGTTAAGATCAGTAATAAAAACTTTTGGAAAAAGGGCTGCCAAGAAATGGCTCAGCAAGTACAGGCTGTCAATTCTAACACTCGGAGTTTATCCATATGGTGAAAGGAAAGAACAGATTCTCACAGGCTGACTGTTGACATAAATGTAATTCACTTTATATTTTATTTGTGTGGGTATTTTGCCTGCATGTATGCCTGTGTACCACTTGCATGCCTGGTACCAGCAGAGGCCCAGAAGAGAGGGTCAGATGCCCTGGAACTGGAATTAACAGATGGCTGTGAGCCACCATGGGGTCATATATATACTTAAAATAAATATGGGTCTTTGGATATACAACTTGTAACTTTGAAACCTGTATGCTATAAATGTTTAGATTAAGATCAAATTGTAGGGCAGGAGAGATGGCTCCAACCTGGGTTCTCTGGACGAGTAGGCAGTGCTTTAACCTCTGAGCCATCTTATTTAAGAGTCAGAATCAGGGACCAGCCCTTTGCAACAACCCCTCACCCCACCCCCAGCAAAAGATCTTTTGGGGGGGTACGGGGGAACACCTAGGGAAAACAAATTCCTAAGTGAATTGTACTATCAGAGAACACTTATTAAGTACTGTTTATACAGCACTATTAGATCAATGCTGGTATTTATTTATTTATTTATTTATTTATTTATTTATTTATTTATTTATTTATTTCGGGGCAGGGTTTCTCCGTAGCTTTTGGTTCCTGTCCTGGAACTAGCTCTTGTAGACCAGGCTGGCCTCGAACTCCCAGAGACCCACCTGCCTCTGCCTCCCGAGTGCTGGGATTAAAGGCGTGCGCCACCACACCCGGCCAAGGCTGGTTTTCAAATATGCTGCTCTGTTTTACACCCTTCCCAATGTCTCAAGCAGAAAGTGGCATAAATATCAAACTGGATATAATATGCTTTAGGTAATCATTTTTTGTGTTCCAATTTTAATTAAAGACAGATTAAACTATTAATTTTATAAATGCAATGTTCTTAACTCCTTAGAACACATTAATAAAAACTATGCCTGGAACTGGGCTTCTTAAATCATCACCTCTTTGGTGATCATGGATATGCAGTATGATTATGGATTAAGAGACTATGAAGAGCTTTTTTAAAAATTTGTAGTGGCAGCGACAGAACCAAGAGCCTCATGAATACCAGGCAAACCCCATCCTCGGTTCTTTAAAGATCAGTTCAGTTCATGCAGACCGATAAGAGATGCCGTAAGGACTGTATGAACCAACAATGGATGAACAAATTGAATTAGCTATCAAATCAAGATGAGTCTAACTGCTGGGCGGTGGTGGCACTCACCTTTAAAACAGCACTTGGGAGGCAGAGGTTCAAGGACAGCCTGGTCTATAGAGCAAGTTCCAGGATAGACAGGCTACACAGAGAAACTGTGTGTTGGAGGGGTGGGGAGCTGATAAGTCTAACTATAGACACATAGTAAGCACAGAACAGACATTAGTTATTGCACTTAAATCTTTATAAAAGGATTTTTATCTAATGTATATGAGTGTTTTGTAAGCATGTATGTATATGCATCACATGTGTGGTGCCTGCAGATGTCAGGAAGATGGTATTGGATTCCCTACAACTGGATTTTCAGGTATTTGTGAGCCACGATGTAGGTGCTAGGCACCAAAGTGAGGTCCTCTACAAAGGCAGCAAACACTCAACCATTGAGTTATCTCCCCAGCCTGACAATCAGATCTTATTCTAAACGTTTATCATCAACTAATATCACACAAGACATACAGGCTTAAAGTTACAAGTTGTATATTCAAAGGTCCGGAGTCATGTTAAGTACATGCTGGTACAGGCCTTCTGAGGTCCAATGAAAGAATGTCACAGTCACTACGAGAGGACAAAGGACCCTAACAATGTTCCCACAAACACACTAGTGAAAAAATGAAGAGATGGGCTGGAGAGAAGGCTCAGAGGTTAAAGCACTATGTGCTCTTCTGGAGGTCCTGAGTTCAATTCTCAGCGACCACATACATAGTGGTTCATAACTATCTGTAATGAGATCTGGTGCCCTCTTCTGACTTGCAGGAATATATGCAGGCAGAACACTTATATAATAGGTAAATTTAAAAAAAAAAAAGAGAGAAAGAAAAGAGAAAAAGAGAGAAAAAAAAGACAAAGAGAAAAAAGAAAAAATGAAGAAATGCCCATTTCTGAGAGATACTAGATATACGAGAGATACTAAGGTTACAAGAAAAGTACACTTTTTCTGATATTATCAGAAAAATGTATTTATTATTCTCTAACAAAAATGTTCCAGATACAAAGATAAAGAAGATACAGTCTTTAGCAATATAAAAAAATACATATAACTGTAGAAAATTAGCAACACTAAAATCGCAGGTATTTACTAAGACACAAGAAAGCTGCAATCAGCACATGTCTTCAGATCTGTGCCTGGTGTGCAGTACACAATCATCACACATGTCTAATCAGGACACACGTCTTCAGATCTGTGCACCTAGAACTGGGCCTGCTGTGCAGTACATAATCATCAGTGAATGCTATGGAAGGAAGAACACAACTAAAGTCAGGGGTTGGAGAGATGTTCAGCAGTTAAGAGCACTGTTTCTCCCCAGAAGGCCTAGGTTTGAGGCCTAGCACCACATGGCTGCTCAAACTAGCTGTAATCCAGTCCTAGGGAATCTAGTGCCCCTATGTCTTCCATGGGCCCCAGGCATGCATGTGGTACACATACAGGCAAAAGCATTCACAAACATAAACTTTTTTTGTTGTTGTTTATTTTTTCTGAGACAGGAGACAGTGTTTCTCTCTCTGTAGCTTTAGAACTAGCTCTTGTAAACCAGACTGGTCCCGAACTCAGAGATCCACCTGCCTCTGCCTTCCCAGTGTTGGGATTAAAGGTGTGTGCCACCACCACCTGGCTCACATACATAAGTCTTCTTAAAAATTAAGAAAAACACTAAAGTTACATACCCTTTTGAGAGACCAGATCTTTCACAAAGCAGGAGCAATTTAACACGAATCTAGCAAGAGGAACAACAACAACAAAAAAAAATACAAATCAGCATATATACAAAAGTGAAAGGCAGACAAAGATTATGAGAGCATGCAGTATGTGACAGACTTCGTATGGAAAGTCACTACAGGAGGTGACACAGCAGCTATAGGTGGGTTATGTAATTTGAAGTGTTAGGGCAATGGGATTAAGTTAAAGGATTTGGAAGTGTAGGTGGGGAGCTCCTTTGTCAAGAGAAGATAAATCTGAGAAAACTGGAGACTGAAAATTCAATTTCTGAGGTCACTGCTTTAGTTGAGCCAAAAAGATAATGAAGGTTGGGTTTAATGTTCAAAGTATAATCAGGGATTTATCGAGATCACTTTGTGCAAATGAAGTTCACCGAACCGGTTGGTTATTATTATTATTTATTATTATTATTACTTGAGACAGGGTTTCTCTGCAGCTTTGGAGCCTGTTCTGGAACTAGCTCTGTAGACCAGGCTGGCCCCGAACTCAAGAGATCCACTTGCCTCTGCCTCCCGAGTGCTGGGATTAAAGGCATGTGCCACCACCGCCTTGCTGAACCGGTTGATTATTCAAGACGAATATTTGTCGTATGCTATGCAGAGGTCACCTCACAATTGCAGACGATATAAACCATCTTTCCTCAACGTATCATAAAATCGGGATAATCACTACACTAACTTATTTTTAGGCTGTTTTCCAGAGTCTTCATCTTTTGGAAACTAAGCCATCAAATTGAATATTTGAGAAACCTATTCTGCAGTCTTCCAAGTGTCTGCCTAACCCTGTCACGCGTCCTTTCCCAGAAAAGCCTACCCAGAGTTCTGGAAAACCACGCTAACCTGAGCCTAGAGACGGTGAGCACAGTGTAAATAAAGTAGCGCGTGTTTATACGTTGATTTCAAGTGAACTCGAATCTCAGGCTTCTGACCAGACGGTCCTTAATGAGGGAAAAAACGCGGGGCCGCAGGCCTGGGTAAAACGGTCTCCTAGCGGGGGAAGCAGCGGAGGCGTGCGGCGCCACCCGGTGCCAGCCCCCCGGAAACTCTCACGCTTGGCACAGGGTTTCCAGACCGCGCCGGAGCGCTGGCCCGGTGACTGGTACTCGCCGAGCCGCCACAGCAGGCGCGGAGCGCCGCTCCCCGCTCGGCCGCGCGCCCATGCCAAGTCCCCTCCGGCTGTCCCGGGGACCCCCTCAAAGCGGAGAAAAGGCTGACCGACCGTTACCTGGACCGCACAGACCTAGCCAAACCGCCAGCAGGGACCCGCCACCGCTACCGGACTCGACTCCGCCGGAGCCCGACGCAATCTGATGCCGTCACTTCCGCCCGCTGCGCTCTGGCCTGGGAAGCTTGGGGGGGGTGGGTCCTTTCCGAAAGGAAACGAGGGGGCGGGGCTCCCAGCAGTTCCGGGGCGGGGCCCCGTGATCATTCCGAACTGGGCGGGGCCCGTGATCATTTCGAGCTGGTTGTTGTCAAAGGTTGGAGAGGTGCGAAGTGTGTAGAGCTAACAGTTGGAGATGTGGCTTTAGAGATCTAGCAAGCATTCTATCACTGAGCTACAGCCTCAGTCTCCCATGCTTTGTTTTTAGAAAGGGTTTCTCTGGGTAGCCCTGGCTGTCATGGGATTCCCTCTGTAGAAAAGGCTGGCCTCAAACTCAGAGTTCCTCCTGCCTCTGCCTCCGGAGTGCTGGGATCAAAGGCGTTGGCTACCACGCCCTGCTAGTGTACCCTGGTTTTTAAGCTCACAGTGTTGCCAAGGGTACTTGGAAGCTCACCGTCTCCTCTACTTGGTACCATAAAGCTGAAAGTAGTAGTCGCCTCTTAGAAACTTGTGAGATCGAAACGTGAATAGCAAGCAGATACTCTTTATCACGTTCTCAGTGAAAGTTAACTCGTGTCTAAAGAAAGACAACAAAACATGCGTCTTTGTAACCACACATTCATTTACATTTTAGTTTTGTACCTATCAGCTCTCTTCCCGGCTGTTCCAAGAAAACATTTTGTGTTGTTGTTGGTTTTGTTTTTGTTTTTCTAGATAGGGTTTCTATGTAGCTTTGGAACCTGTCTGGAACTTACTCTGTAGACTAGGCTGGCCTCAAACTCACAGAGATCCTCCTTCCTGCCTCTGCCTCCCTAGTGCTGGGATTAAAGGCTTATGCCACCACCTCCTAGCTAGGTTGCTTTCTGATGCTTGAGTGAATTTCAATATATCTTGATTTCTTTTTTTTTTTTCTGTGCTTACTCTAGGCATATGCAGGTCTTGTTTTGCTTATGTCATTTCCCTTGTATTTTGCACTATCAACAAGTTAATGAGCTCCTTTAGTCTCTGTCTCTCTCTGTGTCTGTCTCTGTCTGTCTGTCTATCTCTCTCTCTCTCTCTCTCTCTCTCTCTCTCTCTCTCTCTCTCTCTCTCTGTGTATGTGTGAGACGGACGGTATCTGTGTGTTATGTGTATGGGGTGTTGATCTATACATGGACTCTAATAAGTACAGTAGCATTATGTAGCTATTGTCTCCTTAATGAAACATTTTCTCCTGGAGGGACAGGGAACCCCGTAAGACTTAGGAAATTAAGAAAACTTAACAATGGCCTGACAGGAGGTAACTTAAGGGAAGAGGGTTAATTTTGACTTACAGCTTAAGGGGATACAGTCCATCACGCAGAAGCATGACACCTGGAGAAGGGGAAGAAGCCACATTGCTTCTGCAGACCGAAATCACAGTCACGTTGCGTCCACAGACTGGAAGCTTAGAGAGGTGAATGTTAGTTTGCTTTTTTTTTTTTTTTTTTTATTTAGTCCAGAAAGCTAGGCCATGAGATGGTGCCACCTATATTTAGGTTGGGTCTTCCCTCCTCAGCTCAACCATCCTGAAATAACCTGCATAAACCTGCCCATGGGTTTTTTTTTACCAGGTGATTCTGGATTCCGTCAAGTTAACAATATTAACCATTAGATTCTGGCTAGGGAAACTTAAGTCTTGCCACCTGGGTCGCATGGCTGCGTATAGCACACAGCCTTCAACCCAGCAGGAGCTGCTAATTCTTCTCAAACACCAATGTGACCGTTCGAGTTACCGTTGCTCTGTAATTGGGTTAACTTTTTGGTATGACCATACTTTTAACTTTGGATTCCCCGTGAGTGAACCCAAATGTTTTCTCGGGGTTGAACAACAGGTCCCCCCTGGAGTCGGTGGATCCAGGATGCACCACGGGACGCAGGCGGAGACCTCCAAGAGCAACGACGAGCGCGGGCTAGAGGAGCCCGGTGGGCGGGGCCGGACGGGGCCGGAAGTGGACCTGCGCCGGCGGCCATCTTGCCGTGAGACTGCAGGAGTCGGAGCGATGCTCACCTTGGCCGCTTACCGGGGCTTCGACCGAGAGATGGCAATGAGGGCGGCTCAGGGCTCCTCCGGCCCCGCGTACCTGCGGTTCTCGCCTTACGCCTTCAATGGAGGGTAAAAGCTCGGTCTGCTGCGTTCACCTTGGTCGAGCCGGGGTCGCGGAGAGCGGGTGTGGGGTGGCGGGGATGCAGCCTGCAGCCCGGACCCAGACGGTGCACGACGCCCTCGGTGCAGCCTGCTTTAACCCTCTGCTCCGTGGGCGGCTGTGTCGTGGGGCCGGCGGGCAAGGGGCGATGTTCCTGTTAGCATTGGTTCGTCCTGGTTTATAGACGGTGTCGGTGGTTCCGTCGCTGAGCCGTCGGATCCGTTATTATTTCAAATAGAAAATGTCATTGGTTAATTAGACTTAATTTGTGGGCCACTGATTTTTTTTCTTTTAATGCTTGTTTGGCTTAAGTTCAAGGGTGAAATATAGAGGTTTTTGTTATACTGTGAGACGTGGCCTGCTGGGCAGGTTCTACTGAGCTATCTATGTACCCAGCCTTCCCCGTGTGTGTGTGTGTGTGTGTGTGTGTATTCTTACTCTCAGATTGCTTGTGCATTGTAAATATTCGCTGTATTCGAAGGGATGTTTTTCCTTCGAATTTAGGACCCTTGGCAATACAGGGATATATTTCATCAACGTCTATTCATTGAAACCATTGTTTAAAAAAAAAATGTGGCTTGTTAAGAAAAGCGAGACAGCCCGGAGGTGGTGGCGCACATCCTTAATCCCAGCACTCGGGAGGCAAAGGCCAGTGCAGCGAGTTTCAGGACAGCCAGGGCTACAAGGAGAAACCTTGTCTCAAAAAAGAAAAAAAACATTAGCTGTGTCTTTGTGAATGTTGAACGTTCACTGTGTAGGGAGTGAAATATTGACTGTAGCCTTGGCTGTGTCCTCTGAAGAATAAATGTGGAAGTGTGCTCTGCGGCTCCTTTCGGTTTCTTGAATGGTGACATTTTTTGTAAGCTGCGAGCAGTTAAGTGACTGCTTCATAGTCTTCGTCCTTGGCGCATTTAAACAGCCCTTTCCAAGAACTGGTGAGAATTAGAACTGGTTTTAAATTCATAGCTTTCGTTTTCCAGTGTGCTGCTTCATTCTGCGGGCTAACGCTAAGTACTTGGGTTGTGAGACGTGTTAACTTCAAGGTATTCTGAATGCAGGACTCATAATTAACTTTTTAACCGCTTGCAGTTCCTCTTAATCCATTGCTCTCATAGTTACTTACAGCTCTCTAGTAACTCACTCCCCCCCTTTTTTTGGTTCCTATTAGCATTTATTGCATTAATTGCAACTGGCCTGCCAAGTAGCCTCTGGTTCTGCAAAATGATACTAGTTTCTTTGTGGCTTCCAGATTTTGTTACTTAAGACTTTTACATTCCTCATCCCTGGGAATATAATTCCCAAGTCTATTTCTGTAACTTTATTTCTCCAAAGTCCCCTCAATTCTGGTGTCTTTGGGAAGAGGTTTCTAACCATAACTCATGTTAGTAAGCAAAACAAGCGGGGTGATGATTCCTTCAGAATACTCTGATTATGTCAGTGTAAAGTCGGGGATGCTGTAGCTATTTTTCCCACTAAACACACTTAGGAAGTCATGAAAACTTGGTTGCATTCAGTGGTGATGTGTTGTCCTTTTTGTCCCCTTCATCCTGCTTCCTTGCTGTTACATCTCTTATTGGAACAGAATTTGTATTCCCGGTTCACACACTGTATTGTTCTCATAATTGTCTTACAACCTCACTTTACAAGTGGAGCTTTTCTCATTCTTGTTTGTCTAACCTTCAGGACACCTTGCTGAGATCAAAAATCTAGCTTGGGATCTGCAACAGTTCATAGCAGTGTGTCTGTCCCTAGGCACACAAAAAGGACCGCCTTAAGTTGCTTGAGCGGGCTGCTGTGATATTTTTTTCTTTCTGTTTCTATTCATGATTTGTGGAATGCCATGCCTCTCTGCTTTGGGGTTTTAGTGCAGAACTTGTTTTGGTAAAAATACTAGGTAGTGTTTTCTGGGTTTATTTTCTAGAAGGACCTATGCTAGGTGCTTTATGTGAATTACATTGGCTAGTTCTTACACTCTGTAACACATCAGGTACTGTTGTTACCATCAATTTGAACATTAAAAATTTATCCAAAATCACACAAATAATAAGTGGCATGAGTGGGCCTCTCCCTCAAGTAATTGCAGTGCTCGGGTGCTTCGTCATCACATGCTGCTGTCCTGCTGCATAGCACAGTGACGTTGTTCGCTCCCTAGGAGACCAGTCCTATAGCAGGCAGACATCACATCAACTACTGAATCCTTACAGCATGCTAATGTGAGATGGTTACTGTTACTTAATTATTTATTTTAAAGAAGTTCAGTAACTTGCTTGGGAAAACACTATTAGGATCTAGATTCTACTTTTATGTTTTTTTCTCTGGGATTCTTCAGTAAGTGAAACTATACGGCAGGAAAAAGATAACCACCTTTGAATGTGGTGTGACACACTGTTTCTGGGAAGACATCACATGTAGGGCTAAGCCAGCCCCCTTAGGGGGCGGGCTTGCCTCGGGCGAATCGGGCTCACGGGAGCTCCGGTGCCCCTTTCTGTTTCCTGTGCTCCGCGGGAACCTTGGATCTGTAGGTCTAATTTCCCCATTAGAGCTGTGTATATATTTTTTACAATCTGCCTGCGTTCATTTACGCTGCAACAGTCTCTCTCTCTCTCTCTCTCTCTCTCTCACACACACACACACACACACACACACACACAAACCTGCTCCATGACTGACTGAAGTTTAGCTTGGAGAATCAATACACTTTTATTGGGGTTACTATAACAGGAGTATGGGCTAGGAGGTACTTCAAAAAGCAAGGATGATCTAGAATCAACTGTATCTTAGAAAAGTCGACCCCAACACAGTCGATGGCTTAGAAAAGCTGTAATTCTAGATCTCTGTACGATTTGTACGTAGCTCACAAGGCAGAAAATCTCTTACAGCTTGGCTGGTCAGGGCCTCCTCCCACAACAGTTAAGACAGGGTCTAACTGGCCTGGAACTCACAGAGCCTGCCTTTCCCTCTCAGATGCTGGAATTCAAGGTGCACAAATCAGGGGTGAGGAAGGTCCAAGAATTCTCAGGTTTTCACGGGATGTAACTTTGCCTCAGATATTCTCCTTATGACTCTCAATAGTCCCCCCCCCCCACCATAAAGGATGTTTCCATGCGGAGGAATAGACATTGCCTAACAGCTCTCCTACGAAGAAATAGATGTGGTCCTGAATTCAGCTTGCTTATAGGATTACTATCTATCCATACCTGGTCTCCAAGAGACAAACGTGTTGCTTTGTAATACCAATGCTTTTTATACATGAATTTTATTTTATTTTTTTTTTTTGGTTTTTCCGAGACAAGGTTTCTCTGTAGCTTTGGAGCCTGTCCTGGAACTAGCTCTTGTAGACCAGGCTGGTCTCGAACTCACAGAGATCCGCCTGCCTCTGCCTCCCAAGTGCTGCATAAAAGCGTGTGCCACCACCGCCCGGCTACATGAATATTTTTGATCTTTAGTGATGAAGGTTGATTTAGTGTTTTCCCTGTTACCAAGGAGATACTAGAACAGTTCCATTTTGTATTCTGTGGTGTATATTTTGAGAAAATTGAGGCCTTCAGTAGTTAAGTTGCCCTCGGACTTATAACTGCTGAATGGGGAGGGCACCATTAGAATCTAGGTTAGGAATTTTCCAAGATGACATGGAATCAGGGATCCTTTCCTCCGGTCTTTCATTTGAATTCTATTCTTATATCTAGTAGGTTTACCTAGATAGGTCCTGTGGAGCACACTCCTATTTGAAGAGGGAGAGTTGCCATGCTGAAGAATTAATGTTTTTTTTTTTCTATTTTTTTTTTTTTAATCAGTACTGTATTGGCAATTGCTGGAGAAGATTTTTCCATTGTTGCTTCAGACACTCGGTTGAGTGAAGGGTTTTCAATTCATACCCGAGATAGCCCCAAATGTTATAAACTGTAAGTAAATCAGCCTTTCTAGATTTATTTTATTTGTATGTTTTGTCTGTATATATGTCTGCGCTTCGTGTATGTGCAGTGTCGACAGAGGCCAGAAGAGGGCATCGGATCCCCTGGAACTGGAGTTGTAGTTGGTTGTTAGCTGCTGTGAATTAAGCCTGCCCAGGTTCTGTGGAAGAACAGCCAGTGCTCTTAGCCATCCACTGAGTCTTCTCTAGCCCATAAGTAAATATTTCTAAAGACACTTCACTTGCCTTTGTGGTGGCAGTTGGAAAGGTGCATGGCTAATTACAAAACTCGGTTAAACTTGCAGTAGAAATGGACCCAACAAGGCTTAGATTCTTTGCACAGCAGTTTAAGGTAACGTGGAGTAGAAAATAAAGAAGGCAGCATTTCAGTCCTAGGCATGGCTCACATCTTACCATAAGAAGCAGTGAAGTTTTCTTACCTTTCCAGTTCCCAGCTACCCAATTTTTCTATCTCATTGGCTGTTTTTCCATAAGGAGATTAGAATTAGACTTTAGTCGTATGTTCATATATTTTTAACTTCTTTTTTTTCTGTAGAAGTAGTCAGATTTATGAAACTTCTATATGACCCATGGGCTACATTATGCTTCTCATTTCCCAGCCCTAGATTGTAAAGTAGAAGTCATGCTTATTTTCTCTAACCTGTTAATGGTTTATCTTTGACTTACCGAAAATTCATTTGGTGTAAGACTGAGTGGTATTGGTATGTAGACTCCCATGCTGCAAAAGGACTGACTAGCTGTTGGTTTGTGCGCCTTGTTTTTTTGTTTTGTTTTGTTTATAGTCAAATAATTTTCCTGAAATTGGCTTTTTACAGAACAGACAAAACAGTCATTGGCTGCAGTGGTTTTCATGGAGATTGTCTTACTCTGACGAAGATTATTGAAGCAAGATTAAAGGTAGGTGCTACCCTGTCGAAACAATTCATAAGATTCTTTTGAGCCTCGATATAACTGCTGCATTGAGAGAGAGCAAGTTAGTAGGCGGAGCTAGTGTATCCTAGATACGCTAGATAAAGCAGTACCACCACTGGCGGTTGGGATCCCACAGATAACAAGGGACCGCAGCACATGTCTGTTTACACCCCTGTGCTTTGTCGTGTTGTCTGTTTTCTGGAGGTGCTTCTCCTTCTGAAATATCAAGTCTGCTCTGGCAGAGAATAGCCTAGGTAGCCATAGACCAGAGCATAATGTGGAAGTGTCTACTGACCTTTCCTTCCTCACACCTTCACACACTGGTAGACAGCACACAAAAAAAGAAGAAATAATCTCTGGAGCATTGATGGAGGGAGGTACCTTCAATAGAAATCACCAAGGCATGATGTAATAAGAACACGTTAGCAGAGGTGACCACATTCTCTGTGCCTGCTTGGGTCACTTAAGGAGATCCCTCACATAGTCATGAGACAAGTTTCTTAACTCACATTTGCTGTGTGTGGCTGTGTAGAAATATTCCATTGTGTATTTTAGAACATCTAGTATTGAAAGCTTCAGAATTTACATTTATTAGCAGACACACGGTGCCTTCTATTCCATCCTCTACGATAACTTACCTTAGAAATTCGTCTGTATTTGTCATACAGCTTACCTGTGATTGTTCAGGATTTTGACCTTGATTTACAGCACTTAGGCTTAGCTTTAGAAATGCTTGCTGTGTGACTAACAAAAAATGGTAAACTCAGCCAGGCATGGTGACACAGGCCTTTAATCCCAGCACTCTGAAGACAGGCAGGTGGATCTCTTTTGAGGCCAGCCTGGTCTACAAAGTGAGTTCCAGGACAGCCAAAGCTGTTACATAGAGAAACCTTGTGAAAAACAACAAAAATGGTGAACTTAAACCTATTTCATGTTTATAATTTTTGTGGATAATTTAAAGTTTTTAAGAATATAGTATATCAGGATTACAAGGTTCCTGTATTGGCATCCTAAGATCTTTTTTTAACCTGATTATTTAATTTCATTTATTTATTTTATGTGTATGGGTGTTTGGTCTACACATATGTATGTTGACTATGGGCATGCCTGGTACTCAAGGAGGTCAAATGGTGCCTGAGTCCTTGAAAATGTCTGTCAGTAGTTGTAAGCTGCAGTGTAGGTGTTGGGACCCAAACCCAGGTCTTCGCAGGAGCAACAAGTGCTTGTAACTCTGTTGAGCTATCTTTCCAGTCTATGGTCATGTTTTTGATACTGTTTTCCTTGGTAGACTTGAGAAGCAAGACTATTGCCCTTCAATATGTGTTTGTCTAGCAGTTTACGAAGAGTGGGACCCCAAATAATACAGTCCGGTGATTCTGTTGATAACTATTTTGAATCTCAGGGGCCGTTGCGTTTCTGTCACAACTGCCCTGTTTGCTGTGGGATGGAGAAGGCAGCATACGCAGCATGGCTGTGTTCCAGGAAATTCTCACTTAAAAGAATCAGGTAGTGGGTCAGGTCTGACTCCTCATGCGATACCATTTGGGGTGCACAGTGCAGGGATGAGATGCATTTTGAACATCTTCCTCAGGCTCACCTTACATGCTCTGCTTATTACAATGTTGTCGGAAATGAAGAGGGCAGGCTAAGTAGACTCTAAATTAGTATTCTTCACATCCTTCCCTTAAAAATCTTCTTGTTTGGGGCTGGAGAGATGGCTCAGAAGTTAAGAGCACTGGCTGTTCTTCCTGAGATCTTGAGTTCAATTCCCAGCAACCACATGGTGGCTCACAGCCATCTATAATGAGATCTGGTGCCCTCTTCTGGCCTGCAGGCATACATGCCATCAGAACACTGTATACATAATAAATAAATTTTTTATTATTATTAATTTTTTTGTTTGTTTTGAGACAGGGTCTCTGTGTAGTCCTGGCTGTCCTGGAGCTTGATATGTATGTAGTAGACCAGGCTGGCCTCAAACTCACAGAGGTCTCCATGAGTGCTGGGACAACCATTTATTCACTTAGTATAGGGTACCGGGTACAGACCAGAATAACAGTTCTACCAGAGTCTTACCGTATAGACCAGTGAGCTTATTGGGGTTCTTTAGATGACTACGGATGAGGGGTTACTTAGAGGAACATGGGCAACTGAAAGGCAGCTGAATCACCAATAAGCCCACCGAAGCTTGGGTAGCAGCTCAGAAGGCTGCTTAACTCTCCCGTCACCACACAGGCAGCTGAGTGATGCAGAGTTGTCTTCTCAGCAGTTGTTTCTTGTCCATGTAACCTTGAGAACGGCCCTCTTGAATCCTGATTTCAACTGTCCTGGAATTTGTCAGGTTTATTCATTTTCTGAGTCTTAAGAGTCTGTTCTTTTTTCCAGGGAATGTTTCTATTCTGAAAGACTGGTTACGTGATAACCACCTCAAATATATGTAATTAAACTATCATTTTATGTTAGTAATGCTATGTTATTTGGTCATGAAAGAAGTAAACTTTTGCCAGACAGTGGGGGTGCACACCTTTAATCCCAGTACTTGGAAGGCAGAGGCAGGTGGATCTCTGTGAGTTTGAGTCCAACCTGGTCTGCAGAGTGAGTTCTAGGATAGCCAGGACTGTTTCACAGATTAACCCTGTCTCAAAAAAAAAAAAAAAAAAAAAAAAAACCAACCAACAAACAAATAAGTAAGCAAATGAATAATAAGGGAATGAATGAATGAAAGAGCTTTTGTATTGCACTAAGGAACGCCTGTATTATGCACTGGTTGTCATTGAAGTTTGACAGATTCTGACTCTGCTCTCCTGTTTTTTTTTATTTGTTTTCCAAACCATGAAGATGTACAAGCACTCCAATAACAAGGCCATGACCACTGGGGCAATTGCTGCAATGCTTTCCACCATCCTCTACTCACGGCGCTTCTTCCCGTACTATGTCTACAACATCATCGGTGGACTCGATGAAGAAGGTAGCATCTTGCTTTCTGGCAAATGCAAAAGTGTTGTTTCATAAATGTGCATGCTTCCGCCTGGAGTTGAGCCATCTAGCACAGCAGCTGTGTACTCTGATCATGAAAGTATGAGAAACTAAAGCTGAAAGGGATAAATTACATCCAGAGGCATACAAGTGCTATAAGGTACCTGGTGAAGGCGCCAGTTACATTTTCTCAGGATCTGGAATGTGTTGGTAGTTATTAGCTTTTATCTTACAGATTTGACCTACATAATTTGACTACAGACATGTTTAGTTCAAAGTTTTTGATAAGGAATTTCTGGAACTGGAAGAACTTGTGGTTAAGCACAGTTACTGCTTCTGCACAAGACCTGACTTTGGTTCCCAGCCCTGACATGGTGGCTCACAGCTGTAACCATTTGTAACTCCAGTTCAGGGAACCTGGTGCCATCTCCTGACCTCTGAGGGTCTCAGGCACCTCATCCTGTTGTGTAGCAGGCTTTTCCTGGGGAGACGTAATACATACACACTGCTCACCTAGATATGTAGCCAACAGCAGACCAGTGTGGATACCATCATAGTCCAGAGTGGTGAACTAGTGAGTTTTGCTGGGGTTCCTTACTGCAGCAGAAGTGACTCAAGGACACCTGGAGCACACTGTACGGCCTGCAGGTTGTTTGATAGGTTGGAGAGTGTCACTTCTAGGTAGTTGAACAATACGTTTTCAGGCAGCTTAGCCAATCTGCTTTTTTTTTTTTTTTCAGCTTGGCTTGTCTGGAAGTGACTTCTCAGCATTATTTATTATTTTCTCTTGGGAGAGAGAGGGGTCTTGTATATGCAGGTTTTTTTTTTTTTCTTGAGACAGAGTTTCTCTATAGCTTTGGAGCCTGTCCTGGAGCTTCTATGTAGATCAGACTGGCCTCGAACTCAGAGATCCGCCTGCCTCTGCCTCCCAAGTGCTGGGATTAAAGGGGTCTTGATGTGGGAATGATTTCTTACTAATAAAGAAACTGCCTTGGCCCATTTTATTGGATAGAAAATTAGGTAGGCGGAGTATACAGAAGAAAATTCTGAGAGAAAGAAGGTTAGAGGGAGAGTCGCCATGATGCTCCCACTCCAGACAGACGCAGGTTAAGATCCTCTCTGGTAAGCCAGCTCATGGGCTACACAGAATATTAGAAATGGGTTAGAACAATATGTAAGAGCTAGCCAATAAGAAACTGGACCTAGCCAGGCCAGACAGTGTTTGAAAGAATACAGTTTCCGTGTAATTATTTCTGGGTATAAACTAGCCATGCAGGCGGCCGGGTGCCTGGGACGCAGCCCCGCCGCTCCTATTTCAACAGGGTCTTGTTAATCTGATTAGTTTCAGCTCCTTCCTGAAGCCATTTTGAGTTGTTTATCTTCTGTCTTAGCTTTCTTATAGGATGGAATGTTTTAATCAAGGAGGAAACTGCTATACAATATAGTCATACATGCAGGCAAAAGACTTAGACACATAAAATAAAAATAAATCGTATTTTTTTTTTTAAAGTAATTTCTTAGTCTTTGGAGCTGGACATGGTAATACATGCCCATAACCCCAGCACTTTGCAGCTGAAGCAGAAGAATTGTATCCTTCATGTTCAAGACCTTGTCTCCAAAAGCAAGGGTGATTTGGGTAATTAATACCTGTACTTCTCACAGTGTTCTCAGAATAGGCATCTTTAGATTTTTCTGTCAGAGTAAGATAGGATATATTTTTTAAGACTTTTCTTAGGCGGGATGTGGGAGCACATGCATTGCCAGCACTCTGGCAGAAGGATCTGTAGAGGGAGTCCCAGAGATTTTTTCTTAATATTTATTTGTTTGTTTGTTTGTTTATTATATATACAATATTCTGTGTTCATGTATGAACTGCAGGCCAGAAGAGGGCACCAGACCTCATTACAGATGGTTGTGAGCCACCATGTGGTTGCTGGGATTTGAACTCAGGACCTCTGGAAGAGCAGGAAATGCTCTTAATCGCTGAGCCATCTCTCCAGCCCCAGTCCCAGATATTTTTGTCCCAACTGCCTGGTCGCCTTCCTGGCAGCTGCTTATTTATAAATGCTCAGCTGATAACTCAGGCTTGTTAAACTTAAATTAACCCTGATTCTTTTCTGTGCTAAGCCATGCGGCTTGGTATTCTCATCTTGTTCCCTCTGTGTCTGCTGGTAACTCCTGACTCTGCCCTTCTTCTTCCCAGAATTCTTAGTTTGGTTGCCCCGCCTATACTTTCTGCGTAGCTCCAATCAGCGTTTTATTAGACCAGTTCAAGTGACAAGTCTTTACAGTGCATGAGAGGATTATTCCACAGTAGGGGTCTCTGAATTTGAGGCTAGTCCTGTCTACATAGCAGGTACCAGGACAGCTAGGACTTCATAGAGATCCTGTCTCAAAAAACAAAACAACATAAAAGGGTGTGTGCGTGTGCATTTATTCCCCCTCCTCACTGTCGTTAGTTCTTGGAGAACTTTGTATAGTATATTTTGATCAGTCGCCCATCTCCCCGGTTCCTCCCCGGTATACCATTCCCTAATCTTCTGCCCACCCAACTTTGGGGCCTCTTTGTCTGTCTGTCTGTCTTTCTTTCCTTTTTTTTAATATTTATTTATTTATTACGTATATAATATTCTGTCTGCGTGTATGACTGCAGGCACCAGACCTCATTACAGATGGTTCTGAGCCACCGTGTGGTTGCTGGGAATTGAACTCAGGACCTTTGGAAGAGCAGGCAATGCTCTTAACCACTGAGCCATCTCTCCAGCCCTGTCTCTGTGACTGATGTGTCCCTTAGCCGGATCCTGGCAAGGGGATCTGGAAATGGGATGTAGGTGAGACATTTTTCTCAGGGTTACTGCATTTCACCCTGGCCTTCTCCTCTCCCCAGGGGGACCCACTCCCCCACCACAGAGGAGTCCTGTGCCTTGCCCCTTGCTCGTCTGGTTTTCATGCCTGCTTTTCCTCGGCTCGTGTTGATATTTTACAGTGCCTCTCTGTCTTGGATTTCTTCTTTCTCCTCTTCCTCATTCTCCTCGTCTTTCACTCCCTATTCTTTCCATAACCGCAGCTTAGTTATTGCCCATCCTTATTTTTTTGCCTTGTGAATAGTTCATATTTTTTCTTGTCCTGCTTTTTGGAAATTCCCTCAAGGATTTTTTTTTGTTTTGTTTATTTATTTATTTATTTTTAATTCTGTTGTTGCTTTTATTTCTGGTGTCTTTTAATTTTTAAGGACTAAGGTTTTTTTTATTATTATACTATTTTTGTTGCTTTTTGAACTTTATTAGAAGTTTTGTTTTCTCTTCATGTTTTTTTTCCCCCTGTATTTTATAATGGAGCCTGTAATTATAATGGTTTGTTAATTCAGGACTGTTTCTTCATCATGAAGAGTGATGTACTGTCTCTAATTAGCAGTCCTTAGCAGTATCCTAGTATACTGCTATACCACTGTAGTTAAACTATCATAATTATTACTACTATAATTTTTAAAATTTAGTTCTTTGATAATTTCATACATGCATATAATATGTTACAGGTTCCATGTACCTTCTTAGCTTACAGCTGGAGCCTTTTTTTGAGGGTCAGTTTTCTGTTCTTTCCTGCCCACTCAGCCTAAAACCCCAAGTCCGCTGAAGTCTCCGAAGACTTGCTGTGCTGTCTTGTGCGCTAGGATGGGAACCTGGAGCCCAGCTTCTGTGGTGGTCTCTGATTTTACCAGGGATCTGGTCCCCGGTATTACCATGTGAAGTCAGACCCTGTGAATGGCCCATGATTTGTTGGAGTTTGGAGGTTTTGTTTGTTTTTTAAGATGGTTCCTCTCAGTCTGTAGCTCAGGTTGACAAAGTTTGTTTTGCTCCTCCTATCTCAGCTTCTCAGCTGATGGGGTTACAGTTAGGAGTCACCACACTTGGCTCTGCAGTTTTTAAAAGACCTCTTCTAGGGGCTTGAGAAATGGCTTAGCAGGTAAGAGCACTTGGCTACTCTTTCCGAGGACCCAGCTTCAGTTTCAACCAATATGACAGCTCACAAAGGTCTGTAATATCAGTTCCAAGGGATTCCATGCCCTCTTGTGGCCTGTTCAGGCATGCACACATGTCGTGTACTTCCAGGGGTACAGACAGACAGACGCTCATACTTGTACACATTTTTTTAAGATCTTTTCTAAAATTGTCGTGATGCTTTCTTTCATAAAACTCGAGTGATACATAAGCATATGGTACCTTCCAGTTTTTCTCAAAGGTAGCCAGCTACAAGTAACGTTATACACATTGAACATGCAAGGAACACATGCATTTACTAAGAATGACCCCTGTTTGTTTTAAAATTACTTTTTGAGCAGGGAGCGTTGGCCATGGTGCAGAAGTGAAAGTCAGAGGACAGTTTTCCAGAGTTGGTTCTTGCCTACCACCAAGTGGGTTCTGGAGATCAAGTTCAAGTCAACCAACCTTGCAGCACGTGCCATTACCCTCAGATTCGACTTTCTGGCACTGACCTAGTCTTAGCAATATGTTAGCTCACTCTAAGCACTCTGACCAGGTTGAGTCTATAACTGAAACCAACAGCCTGACCAGACAGTTAGAACAGGTGAAACAGTCTGGTTCCAAGAGTTAGGTGCTTTCTTTAGTTTTTTTTTTTGGGGGGGGGTTGTTGTTATTATCTTACGTTTTTTTGGGGACAGGATTTTCCTGTGTAACAGTTCTGGCTGTCCTGGAACTCCCTCTGTAGACAAGGCTGGCCTTGAACTCACAGAGATCCATCTGCCTCCATGTTTAACTTTTTTTTTCTCCCTCCCTTCCCCCTTCCTTCTTTCATCTCGTTTTTAAACAATGTTGTGCTTCTATTGTGAGTGAATGCCACTTTTCTAATAACTTAAGATTTCTGTAATTTTTTTGCCATTTTGAACATTGCAAAAATATCTGCCTGACTTATATTAGAAACAAACAATGAATAATTTTATTTGGTGTTTCACAAAGAAACACACAAAGTCAGAGTATCTTGGCAAGGCAATTCTGCTTGCAAAAGATGCACTGGAACCCAAATGAGCCTAGCAGCACAGCAGGGCCAGCATGGGCCCATTTTATCCGTGTGACTGCACCTCATCTCCTATATGACATAGTTGGCTAGTGGATGTGAGAGTCAGAAAAAATAAGTCCTTATCAGCTACCTGTAATTTAATTTTTTCTTATACACTTGTAAAAAACTTTGTATTTACAATTTTTTAGGTAAGTCCTGTTCTGCAAATGAAGTTATTTTTGTGTCGGGGGTATGGGCTTTTTTACATTGGACAGATACTGATGTCAAATTGCTTTTCCAAAAGACATAATTTGATTTCAGTGGAGTCTGTAAGGTTTCTTATGTTTCTCTCTCTCTCTCTTTTTTTTTTGTTGTCTGTATTTTTATCTTTTGATTTTTTCTTTTATTTATTTATTTATTAAAGATTTCTGTCTCTTCCCCACCGCCGCCTCCCCTTTCCCTCCCCCTCCCCCAATCAAGTCCCCCTCCCTCGTCAGATAATATTCTGTCAGTGTGCATGTCTGCAGCCAGAAGAGGGCACCAGACCTCTTTACAGATGGTTGTGAGCCACCATGTGGTTGCCGGGAATTGAACTCAGGACCTTTGGAAGAGCAGGCAATGCTCTTAACCACTGAGCCATCTCTCCAGCCCCTCTCTCTTTCTTTTTAAAAAGTTACTTGGGCTGGAGAGATGGTTTAGCGTTTAGAATACTTGTGTCCTTCCAGAGGACCTGAGTTCGGAGCTCATCACACACATTGGCCTGTGTTGGACAGTTGCCTATGACTCCAGCCTCCATAAACATTTATACATATGATGTGAACATTCACGTGTGAATGTATTAAATATATATGATATATTAAAATAATATATTTTTAAGTTACTCATTCTAGTAGTTCAAAACAAGCTGTAACATTTTGGGAAAAATAAAACTCTTACTGATAACATTTTTGTTTTGCTAAAACCCTTCTTTTATTGAATATTAAGTAAATGATTAATGTTACCATTAAGTTGGGTTTGCTGATGTTTGGCAACGGGTGGTTCTCACCTGTACCAGAGTCTGGTCATGAATTCACTATTCTCCTGCTTCAGCCTAAAATGTGGTGTCTTAGGGTTTCTGTTGCTGAAGTGAATCACCATGACCAAAAAGCAAGTTGGGTAAGAAAGGGCTTGTTTGGCCTACACTTCCATCATTGCTGGAAGTCGGGACAGAACTCAGCAGGAGCTGACCTATGGGCCATGAGGGATGCTGCTCACTGACTTGTTTATCATAACTTACTCGGCCTGTTTTCTTAGAGAACTCAGGACCGCCAGGCTAGGATGACTCCGCCCACAGTGGACTGGGTTCTCCTGTGTCAATCAATTAAGAAAATGCCCCACAGGATTGCCTACAGCCCAATCTTATGAGGCATTTCCTCAGTTGAGGTTTTCTCCTCTTTGATGACAGAAAACGAGCTGGTACACATGAATTGAATTGTACAGTATATTGGTAAAGAGTATGTTTACTTAATAGTAAAAAGATAAACACAGTAAGTTTTTGGTATTTTTATTTATATTCAGCTCTAAGAAAATTTTTAACTATCGGGTCTGTGCTGAAACTACACAAGCTTATTTGTTAGTAATAGAATGAAGATTTTGATTAGAACTTCAAATAAAGGCCTGTGATCATCACCTAATGTGTCTGAATGGCCTGCTTGCTCCGGGCCATGAGATGGTTGTCAGTGACATTAGTTCTAGGCAAGTTGGCCACAGTGTTGGGGCATCAAGATGTGAACCTCTTATCTCTGACCCCACTTTATAAATAGTCTGCTGGGGTCCACTGCACAACAATAAATTTATTCTGACCTTTGCCAAAAGTTTGGCCAAATTGGTAACACTCTGTATCATGTTCTGACTATTTCTCATGGTGTAATGTTTACTTTTTATTCTTTAAGGAAAGGGAGCTGTGTATAGCTTTGACCCAGTGGGCTCCTACCAGAGAGACTCCTTCAAGGCTGGGGGCTCAGCAAGTGCCATGCTGCAGCCTCTGCTTGACAACCAGGTAATGTGATGTGTGGGCCTCTGCCTGTGGCAGCTAAAGCAGCTGTGGTGCCCTCCAGCTTTTTCATTTTGCTGGGATGCTGCTAAGGTCTTCTTGATGGGTTTTGCTACCAAACCGGTTTTTTTCTGTTCTTCTGGTGCCCTTTTTTTATCTGCCCTGTGGCTTCCCAGACTCTTTCTATGCAGTTGTTGGTCATGGCTCCGGTCTTGTCCACGCTGTCTTTACCTGAAATCACATAAATGCCTCCCTCATTACCCTTACTGTTTCAGTTTATCCCTATTTTATATTCCACCTCGATTCAGACCTGCATTTGTGGGTTTCCTAATGATTCTTTCATCCTCCAAGCTGATTTCTAATTCGTGCTCCTCGTGATTCCTGTCCCCTGCCCTCTGCTGTTTGCCCGTATCATGTCTTCTGTACCACACCCAGCCTTTGCTTTCGCCTGAGATGTCTTCTTCCTGACCGCACTTTGGTCGGGAATAGCTCATGCTCTTCAATTTCAATGTCTTCTCCTAGTTTGTTTCCTGTGCCATTAAAAAAGTACCACGACCAAAAGCAACTTGGTGAGGAAAGGGTTTATTTCAGCTTAGCGACTTGTACTCTTTGGAGGGAAGTTGGGACAGGAACCTAGAGGCAGGAACTGAAGCAGAGGCCATGGAGGAATGTTGCTTACTGTCTTGTTCCCCATGACTTGCTCAACCTGCTTCCTTATGCAGCCTAGGACCACCTGCCCGCGGTGGGCTGGATCCTCCCACATCAATCGTTATATAGAAAATGTCCCACCAGACTCATCTATATAGGCCAGTCTGATGGAAGTGTTTTCTCAGCTAACCCTCCCCCCCACACACACACCTTCCCAAGTAACCTGCACAAGTCTTTCTGATGAAGCTGCCTTTTACCAGACTTACTTAATGGCCATTCTGGGCGGTCTTGGCTCCCCCTCCCCACTTACTATGATTTTTCTTTTCACAGTGTCTGTGTCTCAGTGTTTGTGCTCTTGAAAAGTTGGGAGCTTGCCAGATTTCTGTGTGTTTAAGCTGGAACTAGAATATTCTTAGTTTGAAAGACTGGAGAGATGACTCAGCGGTTAAGAGCACTGACTGCTCTTCTAGAGGACCCGGGTTCGATTCCCAGCTCCCATATGGCAGCTCACAACTGTCTATAACTCCAGGATCCAGCACCCTCACACATTTATACATATAGGCTAAAACTCCAATAAAATAAATAATTAAAAAAAAAAGACATCCTAATGTAACCTGTTAGATCCAGTACAAATCCTGGGACACAGGGAGTGTGCTGTGGATGTTGGGATGCTTCATACGAGTTTCTGTCTTTCCAGGTTGGTTTCAAAAATATGCAGAATGTGGACCATGTGCCCCTGTCTCTGGACAAAGCTATGCGGCTGGTGAAGGATGTCTTCATCTCTGCAGCTGAGAGGGACGTGTACACTGGCGATGCCCTCAAGATCTGCATTGTGACCAAGGAAGGCATCAGGGAGGAGACTGTTCCCCTGCGGAAAGACTGATTGTCAGCTGTGTATTGGAGCTATGGCACAAGCTTGTCATTATTAAAAAGAAGCATGAAAAGTACTCATTTTCTTACAGTGTCTTCTGTAGGTGTGACAAATTGGGAAGAATTTCTTTCTTTGTGGCTGAAGTGATGACTCATCAGTTCAGAAAGTGTGGCTCTTGCAGAAGACCTAAGTTTGATGCCCAGCACCCACCTGTAACTCCAGTTCCAAGGGATACGATGCCCTCCTCTCTCCTCAGTAGGCACATACACATAATTATATATAATGAAAAATAAAATCTTTAGTAAAAGAATTTTTCTTTATTTGGGTTTGCTTACTTATTTTAAGGTTTACTTTACATTTTGTATGTGCTTATGTGGATATATGCTCCATGTGTGCAGATACCTGTGGAAGCCAGAAGTGGGTGTCAGTTCTGCTGGAGCTGGGTTTCAAGTGGTCAGGAGCTGTCAGATGGTGCCATCCAAACTTGGATCATCTGGAAGAGCCATACGCTCATCTCTCCAGCTCTGAAGAATGTCAAAAGTAGGACTAGGGAGATGGTGGTTTGGTTTGATTTAGTTTTTTGGTTTTCAAGACAGGCTCTCTCTGTAGCCTTCTATCCTTGACTGTCCTGGAACTCACTCTGTAGACCGGGCTGGCCTCAAACTCTGCCTCCCAAAGGTTGGGATTAAAGGTGTGTGCCACCACCTTTTGGCTACAGAATTTTCTTGTTGACTGAAATTGTTTGCATCTGTGTGTGTTGGCATACGTGTGGAGGACAGAAGACAACATGAAGATGCCGACTCTCCTAACACCCGGCGGGTCCTGGGCTATTGTCAGAGACTGCTCGTTCATTTCCCAGCCCAAAAATAATAGCACAGAAACTATATTAATTGCAGGATTGTTTGGCCAAAAACTTAAGCGTATTTCTAGCTAGCTCTTAAATAAACCCATTTCTACTAATCTGTATCTCCTCGTGGTTATGGCCTACTGGTAAAGTTCCTTCCGGAGTCTGTCTCCTGCTGCAGGTATCTTTTCTAGCGTAGCTATATTCTGTTAAGCTATTGGCCAAAAGCAGCTTTATTAACCAATTGCAATCGAACATAATCATAGCATACAGAGGGAAGTCCCACATCACTGAGGGTCATATGTGGGTTACCAGGCTTGGCAGCAAGCACCTGTTAAGCAAAACTGCATTTTAACTGTTATAACACTTGAATAAGCTGAATTGTAAATGTTAGGACTCACCCAGCTACAGAACTATCTCAAGTGTGGCAGCATTTACTGTTAATTGGTAATGTTTAAAGAGTTCAGTTGTTTAAAAAAGGTGAGATCGTATGGAGTGTTTTTGACAGTTATATGTTTTATATGCAGGTGTTGTAAGAATGATAAAAAGCCAGACAAATTTCCTTACATTTACCCCTTCCAAAAAAAAAATTTACCCAAACTGGTACTTATGTCAAGAATCTATGAATACATTTATTTGCCCTGTGTCTTCGAGGCTTCAGAACACAACAGATGTTGGTGTTTATGTGTGTTAGGCTCTTAAATGGACCAAACAAGAAGGGATTTATTAGGGGAGTTGATACAGAACTGTCAAGGCCACAATAACATTCTCCAGAGTTAGAGTGTAAACATAGCTAGTTGAAGCTCAGCTGAATAGGACTTCCAGAGTACTGGTCTTCTCAGACAGCTTTATACTGTAACCCAGGCTAACAAACAGTCATCTTTGCCTTTGCCTCTCAAAGTGCTGTAATTATAAGTGTGAGCCAAGATGCCTGGCTGAGAACCTGTGTTCTGATGGTCAGGGGAGGAGGAGAATCTGTTCTGCCTCTGGAGAGATGACAAATTGCCCCTATTCTTGCTTCTTTTTATTCTGTCTGTCTATTTATTTTGAGGCAAGATCTCATGTATACCATATTGGCATCAACCTTGCTATGTAGTTGAGGACCTCTGTTCCTACTTCTACCTTAACTGCTGGAATTAAAAGTGTTCACCACCACACTGTTTATGCTATGACTATACCCAAGGTTTTGTGCCTCCTGAGTGTAATGACTAATCTCGGTTGTCAAGTTGAGTGCATTTGGGATAAACTAAAAACCCAGGTTGCTGGGTACTAGGTGACCCACCAAGCTGCAAAGTTGGACGTGCAGAGCAGCAATCCATTATCAAATGGAAGTGGTTTGTATCTGATCAGGTCCAAATAGATGGAGAACAAGCAAGTTACATGAAGTTGACCAGCTGCCTTTTTTTCTATTCCTGTTACATTGTCATCTCTTCTCAAGCATGTTCTTACGGCTTCATGAAGTGTGCTTTATGATTGGCTGAAGAAAAGGTAACTGGGGCCTGATTTTCTGGTTATTTGGCATGCTGGGCAGGCACCACCTAGAAGTGGGCAGCTGCATCATTACAATCATGACAGATACTGGTGAAGGGAAATCTTAGCAATGAGTAAAACCTCAGCCGAAGCACATGGTCGTACGTTTTGCTTGGATTGAGAAATGGTCAGTTGTGTAGTTGTATTCCTGGGCTGAAACGTGGTTTGGCTGGATAGTCAGGGATTGGAAGGAGCAACCTGAGAAAGTGAGGCATTTGGGGAAGAATTTTTGACTAACTGTTCTCGGTAACAGATATGTCCATCTAGGATATTTTGTGTGTGCATGTGTGTATGTCCTTTTAAGTAAGCTCATCCTGAGAAAGGCTTAGGTCCCGGACATCCAATGCATCCATTGTAGTCACTTGCTGGCTAATAAAGACTTTCTTGGCTTGAACCTGTGTCTGAATGGTCTTCTGTAGTGGGTACCTCACACAACATCGTATAAAGATTGTGTTTATCAGTATCTTTTAATTCTCTTTAGCTACAGATTATTTTAACACAGTTTCTGAAGCCTTTTGGCATGGCCTTGTTGCTGAGGTTCAGAATGTGTTGTCTTGTAATTCCTAGAACTCGCTCAATTATCTGGGTGGCTTTTAATGAAGATTGTAAACACACTTTAATCAACCTTCAAGGTGTTGTTTGAAAAGCTACATATGGATGATTTTATTCTTGCTACATAAAATGGAAGGAATTGAGAGAACCTAATGGAAACTGTTGATTTAAAAAAAGAAAACGTACTACTTTCTGGAGCTAGTAGCCATGATTCACTCTTTGGTGGCCAGATACCAGCCTTTGTCATGGACTAAGTGATTCCCTGCCCAGAGATGAAAAGATTCAGAATCTGACATTTACTGAGGGAGCTTGGATTCTAAGTGGGTTCTAACACCTTGCCATGTACCTATCCATCTTCTACATCTTAGGCCTACCCACATAGTTGCTCCATTTCATCAGTGCCTTTCTTTTTTTTCTTTTTTTTTTTTTTTTTTTTGTCATGGGAAAAATGTTTATTTTGAAATTATTTTAGTTTAGAAATACAAAACCTCTTGGGGAGGGAAGAAGGAAAGGAAAATACAAAGTATACAGGCAACTTTTTACTTCATAAGCTTCTCACACCCTCGTTTGCTCCTAGTTCCCGTGAAGAGAAAGCATTCAGCCACCCACAATAATGTTATTAATAGGGATATGGATCAGTTTCACAAAGAAGCCAATGAATCCCATGATAGCAAATCCTATGGCTGTGGCCATGGCAATCTTCTGGAATTCTTTTCTGTCGGGTTTGGTGCATCTTTTAACCAGCCGAATTGAGTCCTTTACAAACTGCCGACTTGGCTCAACAAACTGCATTACCTGATCCATGACTGATTGCGGGACGGTGACTTGAGGAGGCAAAGACACGTAGCTTAGGAGAGCTCATCAGTGCCTTTCAATACACCACAGAGAGTTTGTCTTTAACTGCTGTGGTTAATGCTCTTGTATGTAGTGGGAGCTGTGGGCTGTGGTCCTGCTACCCCGCTCCCAGCCGCCTGGTTAGTTTATGCCCCAAAATAACAACACACAAATTGTATTCTTTTAAACACTGCTTGGCCCATTAGCTCTAGCCTCTTCTGGCTAATTCTCATATCTTGCCTTAACCCATATCTAGTAATCTGTGTAGCACCATGAGGTTTGGCTTACTGGGAAGATTCTAGCCTACGTCCATCTTGGGCTGGAGCTTCATCACGTCTGGCTCAGAGAGGAGAGGCATGGCATCTGGCTCACTTCCCTTCTTCCCAGCATTCTGTTCTGTCTGCTCCACCCACCTACGTTCTAACCTATCAGGCCAAGCAGTTTATTAATCAACCAATGAAACAACAGATAGATAAAGACCCTTCTACATCATTTGTACACTGTAAAGGTTTATTACTCATACTGGTTTAATAAAACACTGGCTGGCCAGCCAGGCAAGAAGTATAGGTGGGATGATCAGACTAGGGGAATTCTGGGAAGAGGAAAGGCAGAATCAGGAAGATTCAGAGAAAGCAAGATGAGAATGCCTCCCTGAGAAAATGTACCGAGTCACATGACTAAGCATAGAATTATAGGTTAAACTATAAGAGCTAGTTAATAATAAGCCTCAGCTACTAGGCCAAACAGTTTATAATTAATATAAGCCTCTGTGTTTCTTTGGGACTGAACGGCTGCCAGACTGGGTGGGATAGAAACTTAAGTCTACACTTTTAGATTCCACTACAAGTATCCACACTCTATATTCAACTTTTGTGGTTAGCTGAACTGCTGCTTTGCTAAGTGCCATCTGCATTTTTAAGATGTGTGTGTGTGTGTGTGTGTGTGTGTGTGTGTGTACTGGTGCCTACAGAATCCAGGAGAGAGTATTGAGTTGGAGTCTAGACAGTTGTGAGGCACCATATGTGGATATAGGATAATTTGAACCAAACTTATTCTTAACCTCTGAGCCATCTCTCCAGTCCCATACCGTTTTCATTCTTAATTCAGTGATTTTAGTGTTGTCTGGCTGTATGTATTATCCACAGAAACTTTTCAAACTATACTCCTCATGACCCACAAAGTATTTTTATCTTAACTGGTATTTCCCCAACTCAACATTTCTTAAGTTTCTTAAGAGTATCAATGAACTTGACACTCTATCTTATGTTAATTATATATTAATTTTTAGCTAAATGATAGGTCATTTGTTGCTGCCT